GTTCCGCACAAAAGTGGATCTACATAAAACATACTATGACCTCCGTAGGCTCCCAGTGCTACTGCCATAGCTCCTGATAATCCAGCAATACGAACTATCGATGACATGTCAGCAAAGTGATAGGACGATTGGCTGATGACTGGAGGAGCCACGGAAGCACACGACTTTTTCTTCGGAAAAGGTAGCTCCGGCAGATAGCTTAAAAGCGAGTTCACTTGGCCAAGAAGAGACATTTTTCTCTAGTGCAGGAGCTAAACAAGTATAAGTGAAAAATGTAGCGTATATTTTGAAAATCGTGTTCGATGTTGTGAGAAGAAAGAGGGAAGAAGTAATAGCGTGAAGATTCGTCTTCGAAAGACGTTCTAGAACTGGTACAAAGTAACATTAAGGACGAGGACACAATGCAACGTCTCGATAAGCAATGATTAACACGCAAATTCTGCGCAATGGTGGCAGAAACACAGAAAGTCAGGCAGGTTCAGATTTTTACAAGTTCAGTTTTCTTAGCTGTGACTTCGCAAGCACTTTATTCATTGAGCTCGGGTTGCTTATCTTAGACAAATTGTTCAATTTGAATGAGTTCTTCAAGTCAAAGAATAGCAAAAGTCCATGCAAAATATAAAGTGAGTTAACAGAGGACAGGTTGTTTATACACTTCATCGATTGCTATCCAATCTAGACGTGCAGGAAGACAAAGACGACAAAGCTGTTCTCGTCATGCCAAAAGTAAAAAGTAATAATTATTTTTTACTTTTGGCATGACTAGAACAGTTACTGAGTTATAAAAATAGTTACTAAGACGTTATCATTTTCGTTCGTGTTGTAACGACTAAGTCCTGAAACACAAACAACAGTTGAGGCGTTGCGAATTCTATCCCAAAGGCTCTAGAGTAGCACAATTACTTATAAGAAACCAACAGCAGTTGAATTGCACACGGAAAACAAAGTTGGAAAATTGAGAAATTTTGCATTCATAGGACATATTTCCAAAGTGAAAAGGGCGGTAGCCAAAGGCATAAGATCTATGTCGGAAAAAAACTGGAACGTGAAATGTCAAACAACCCTAGGAGACTTCCTAGCCGTGACACAGCAGAAACCTCCATCTTCCAAAGTTCTTTAAACATTACCAAAGAAATGCCTCTTCGCTCAAAGTTCTAA